TTTTTTAATGGACCCCTCCCCTCCAAAAATTATACCTTTGAAACTGGACTTCAGATCATAATTAAAATTTACACAGGTGTAGCAAATAGTGTGCTCTTGCTCTGTGCCAAATTTGGGGATATTTGGGCAAACAGTTTTTGAATTATGGTTTTGTCAAAAGTAAAACTGTCATCCAGTTCATAAATAGGCAACCTTAAACATCCCCAGATTTAAAATACCTCATATAAATTGAAAAGACCAGCCTTGCTAAGCTTCAGAGAGAATGGTTGGCTCCACTTCTTTTTTTTGTTTGGAAATAATCCAGCTGCAAGGGCTGAAATAGTGATCCTCAAAAGAGACCTTTCAAATGGGAAAAACAGTCCCTTTGTTATAAACCAAATATGTGTAGTACAGGCTTGCCAGGCAGATGACACAATGTATGGTTTGGGTGAGGGTGAATCAGCAAAACTTCACAGTTATTATATAAGGAATCAGAAATGGCTTGGACCCAAGCTGTCTCAAGAAATCATGTCTTCCTTGATGAGCCTGCCTGGGTGTTAAGAAGGTCCTTCTGTTGATTCCACCAGCCTCACAGATGTGTTTGGAGGGGGACATGAGAGAGGGGGCTTCTCTGCCACCATGTCCAGACTCTGGAATGCCCTCCCACTGGAGGCCAGGCTGACCCCATCTTTATTGCCCTTTCACAAGCAAAGACCTTTCTCTTCGGAAGCCAGGCTGACTCCATCTTTATTGTCCTTTCACAAGCAAAGACCTTTCTCTTCAGAAAGGCTTTCACTTAGTGACTGGCTGTCTGAGAGGGTTTTTTGAATTGATTCTTATGCTTTGTTGCTTTGTATGTGTTTTGGTATTGATTTTGTTTACCATTTTAGTGTGGTATTAATTATTTTGTAATATTTTTATACTTGCTGTTTTTACCTTTTAAACATTGCTTTCTTCTGCTGTAAGTCATCTTGAGTCGTTTTTAAGGCGAAAGGTAGGGTGAAAATATTTTAAATAAATAAATGTATAGATGATTTGATCTGCCAGATCTATATTGATTCTGTAGGCCTGCTCTAGTGTGAGTTCATGTGGTGGCTTAGGTATCTGACTGTGGAGCCAGAGGTTGGGAGTTCAGTTCCCCTCTGTACCTCCTTGACAGGCTGGACTTGCTGTTCCATTGGGTTCTTTCCAGTTCTGCAGTTCTCAGATTCTAAGAAATGCAACAGAATGTTGACTGTTACTGCAAGAAAGCCCTAGATGACTTGATTTCAGACTTTCTCAACTTTAAACAAGATAGTGAGTGACTTGTGCTACAGTAAGAGGCTAAGGTGGTGGATATGGGATGGCCAGTCCTTTTTCTCATTTCCCCAGGTCTCTCTTACGAAATGATCTGATCTTAACTAACCAAGCTTCTAAGATCATGTTCTGTACCAAACTGTGGATTTCCTCATAATCTTTAAGTTAAAAGAATTTAAAGTATTTGTTTGTATAGAGTGGCTCATGATGTTGATCAAAATCAGTCTTCATTCCTTAAAAGAACATTTACCTGAATACAGCTTCTTTGACATGCTTTATTGTTTTTGACATTGATTTACTGTGGGAATGTCCAGGAATTTGTGTGTGTTAGGACAGGTCAGTTCCTTGGGTATCTTTTGTTGCTTTAACTTTGCATGGACCAGACAATGACTAATATTCAGGAGATTCTTAAATGAAGACCCATTGTTTGCAAAGCAAGCCTGCCCAGTTCTGTTTTGTTAGTCCCCATTCGTGGTACTGTCAGCCTAAATTACCTTCAACCCTCTTCTGCCCTCCCTTTTCTTGCTTTAGCTTAGCAATGTCAATTGGGATGTTTGCATTAGGTAAGTAGGTCAAAGTAGATTACTGTACTTCATTGTGCAAAAACTGCTCTAATAAGTAGATTAGTTTCCCTTAATGAAGGATTGTTCTGGCTGGTGTCTTAGTGTTGTCTGGGTGATAAGCAGACATTCAGTCATTTAGCATCCTAGTGATAGGAAAATTCAGAGTGCCAGAGGAGACACATTGAAAAAGATCTTTAGAGTTGAGTACCAGCTGTGAGGTATCCCTTCTCTTCTACCCAGTTTGATGTTGGATAATGTTATTGTTGATGATCAGCAGCCTTTAGTTCACAGAGCACATATGTATGAATGGATAAATGAGTGAAACAGTTTGGAACAGTTAAATCAGAACTGTACGTCCAAAGGCTGTTTTATAATCCACTAAATCATTTTGCTTGCAGGCTATGTGAAGATACTATAGCCATGCAGTATCTTTCTGTCATTCTTTTAGCCATTCTTGACAGCAAGGTACGTAAAGGGTCTCTGTGACCTCACAGGTATACTCACATGCAAACTTCTCTTACTTTGTTCTTTTGGATCCTTTGTTTTAGGCCCTCCAGAAGAGTTACTATCATATTTGACTAGAGAATGAGGTTCATATGCAATTATTTTTTAATTGTTTTGTCAGCTTATATTGTTGGAATTGCAAGCTAGCTTCCATATTGGAAACCCTTCTTTCTTTTCCTATTAGAATGATTCTATACAGAAATGCAAATAATTTTTTAAAATCCTATTGTTCATGCTAAGAAACATGTTGTATAGTTCTAATGTTGAATAATAAATTCCTTTTAATAATCCCATCCTTTAAGAAAATGGTTTACTAAAGACTATAGCACTTAGCTATGCTGTTAAATGTAACAAAATAGTCTAAATCGGAAAATCAAAGTAGTCTTAAAACAAAAAAAATCATTTCAGAGGATAGGGATAATTTCCAAATTAATTAACAGTCCTTCATTTCTCCCCCCCACCCACCCCCACCCCGGAATGCTGTGTTCTTCATCACACACATCCTCTCTGACTTGATGACTTGGGAGAAGCTGTATTACATTTGTATTTCATGGGCTCATCAGCACTGTGAATTTCTCATTCAATAATATCGCATCAAATCTTTTTTCCTTCTGTTTTCCCACAATCTTTCCTAGTAGTCCTTCACATTTATCAGAGGCTTAGCTGTCAGTCAGTTTTAATATGCCTCTCTAGCTCTGGTTTCATAAACTGCTTGTCCCTTTGAGTAAAAACACACTCACTCATACCTGACATCTCTTGATTTCCATGTACAAACCAACTTTGGTAATCGGCCAACACTTTCAAATACCATAAACATAAAGATCCTGGAAATGCTTTTCACAGACCGTCTGCATGCCTCTTTGTATGATACATTGTATTAAAGCACCTGAACTAAAAAAATAATCCTTCCCTACAGGATCAGTAAATACCATAATTCTGCATCATTTCCTGACATTAATCTAACCTGACAAATAATCAGCTGTCGTGGCTACATTTCTATCAGGGTCTAGGTAGAGGCTGTTTGAAGGTAATGATAGAAGGAGGATGGTATGGGCCTTGACTGTGCTTTATGGTCTTCAATGATCTGGGGGTGGGTGGCAGGATCTATTTCAAATCTAGAAATCTGTCCCATCAAGGATTCTGTTTTTATCAACAAGTACAAAAGCAAGGTTTTTTTTTTTTCATTTCTGAGATGGCCACATGTAAATTGTTTTTTACCAAAATACTTTATGTCTCCATTGCACTTTTTTCTGAGGATGCTGCCACTGTGTGAATGGTTCTTGAGCCTTCCAGGACTCTTGGAAGATGGAACAATGGTGGGAAAATGAAATCCTTTAAAATAAACTTCTGGGAGACCTTGCAGGGAAACCTTGCTGACTACTGCATGAGGTGCAGTGAAGAAGAGGAACATTTTGTTTGTGTGTTGTAGAAAGCAATTGGCCTGATAGCTCAGTACTGTATATAGTTCCTGGCTTCAGAGCCAGAGATGGGGAGTTTGATTCCCTCCTATGCGTCCCAGGAGAAAAATTAGCCATTGTAGTTTTGGGCAAGCTGCAAAATTCCAGAGTACCTCTAGAAAAGTGGTTCTCAAAGTTGAGTCCCCAGATGTTCTTGGACTGCAACTCCCAGAAATCTTGGCCAGCACAGCAGGTGGTGAAGGCTTCTGGGAACTGCAGTCCAAGAACACCTGGAGACCCCAGTTTGAGAACCACTGCTGTAGAAAATATTTCTTTACCCAGCAAAATTGAACAACACATGTTGTTAGTCTGTGGAATTCCTTGCCACAGGATGTGGTGATGGCATCTGGCTTAGATGCCTTTAAAAGGGGGATTGGACAGATTTCTGGAGGAAACACCCATCACAGGTTACAAGCCATGATGGGGATGTATAATCTCCAAGGTTAAAAGGAAGGTACCCCAAAATGCCCAGATGCAGGGGAGGGGTATCAGGAGACAGGTATCTTGTTGCCTCGTGTGCTCCCAGAGGCATCAGGTAGGGCCACTGTGAAATACTGTACAGGAAGCTGGACTAGATGGGCTCTTGGCCTGATCCAGCAGGGCTCTTCTTATGTTCTTATGTTAAAAAGGGAATGGTAAACCACTTCTGTCAGTACTCTATGCCTAGAAAACCCTGAAAAGGTCACCATAAGTCAGAATGTACTTTACAGCACATAATGATTATTATTAATTTAGAAAGCAACAGTGGCAGAGTAATTTTCTACCTCTGGAGGTCAAGAAGATGGAGCATCCTTTTGCCAGCGATGGCTTCTGGTGGTGTTTGAACTGACAAACTATGGTTATAGCCACTGCACTGTCTGCAGAGGTGGTTGTTCTGGGGAAATGGGACTGAACATATGACACTGAGTGTAGTGGATGGAAGGAGAAAGGCAGCTGTAAGTGTATGATTTACACTTACAAAGTCCAGCTTGTTTGGACTTTGTAAGTATAAACCATAGTTTGGATTCTGAACTATAATGACAATAAAACATGCGCTTGGTATAATGTCTGAATTAAAATACCTCAGAGGTTTTCTTAATTTTGTACTAAAGTTGTACACAGTCTGCTTAAATTTTTTTAAAGTAAATGTCAAACTTGAAAGCATTTGCACTCTTAGGAATTCCTGCCATTTACTCACTTGTACTTTCTTGCTTGATTGTAGTTTGGTGCAGAATTTCGAAGATTTTCTCTGGATCGTTACAAGCCAGGAAAATTTGAAGATTTCTACAAACTTATTCTTCACATCCATCACATATCCAATATGGAGGTAATGATCGGATATGCTGATATACATGGGGACCTTCTTCCCATTAATAATGATGACAACTTCTTCAAGGCTGTTTCAAGTGCAAACCCACTGCTTAGGATTTTTATACAGAAACAAGGTAAGATGAGATGGCCAGCATCCTGCTAAAAATTTGAACTTCTGTATTTTCCCATCTGATTTCTGGTGTTTAAAAGTCCCCATTTGAGAGCAGAATCTTGTTCTATATTGCACCCTCAGGCAGGATTTTTAAATGGGATGGATAAAGTGCTCTTAAGGAAATGATAGAACTATATCAGGCAGAAGGGTGCAATATATTCACATATTCCTTTAATGAATATGGTAAATTCCAAGCTGTTGGTGTTGGAAGTACTTTATATTCTTCAGAAATTCCACAATCGTGCCCCACTTAACGATTGCCCCGCATTATGACGAATCCACTTTACGACAGTGTTTTTGCGATCGCAATTGCGATTGCAAAACGATGGTCTCAGTGGGGGAATTTTGCTTATCGATGATCGGTTCCCTACTTCGGGAACCGATTTTCACTTTACGGCGATCAAAAACAGCTGATCGGCTGCTTTTCAGAATGGCCGCCAGGTGCTTAAAATGGCTCCCCGCTGTGTTTAGGGATGGATTCCTCACTATACAGGAATTGAAAATGGTCGCCGTATGGAGGATCTTCGCTGGACAGTGAGTTTTTAGCCCATTGGAACGCATTGAACAGTTTTCAGTGCGTTTCAATGGGCTTTTTAATTTCACTTTACAATGTTTTTGCTTAACAGCGATTTTCCTGGAACGGATTATCGTCGTTAAGCAAGGCACCACTGTATGTAGAAAATTTAAGTTGACCCTCAAAAAGATCTGAAATTAACAGCTATAGTGGAAGGAGAACTTATATGTTCAGTCATTTGGATCTGTATCTTGCCTTCTCTGTAGTTTACCCCATAAAGAGCTAGATGTGAGAGTTTTTCTCTACTGGTACCCCAGCTTCTTTCTGGGGCCTGCAAATCCAGAAATTATTTAAAATTGTCTGCAAGATTTGTAGTTTGAAAACATGGCTCTCAAGGGAAGGAACAATATATGTAGGCTACATCTTGCACACTCTTCCTTTAGTTCCCACTCCACCCAGTTTGTTTGCTGATCTATTTGTCTTGCATATGACTGATCCCAATCTGGATTGTGAAACTATCCTCAAGGTGCTGTGCTGTAAAGCATGTTGAAGAAACAAAGATTGTTTCTCTTTGGCTCTGCTTTCAATTTTTCTATTAGCTAAGATCAGGTGGCTGGATAGCTTAGTGAGTTAGGTTTCTGGCTATGGAGCCAGAGGTTGGGAGTTTGATTTCCCACAGTGCATCGCAAAAGAGCCAACCTGTGAGGCCTTAGGCAAACTGCACAATCCCAGGGCGCCCCCAGAAGAAAGAAATGGCAAATCACTTCTGTGTATTCTCTAGCTGGAAACTCTGAGATAGCTAAGACAAGAGATAAAGGAGCACCGGATAATGCACTAGCCAAATATATGGCGTGTACAGTGCAGTATTATACAATGTGCCAGTCTCCACATATGTATGTGTGTGTGATAGGATTCTAATGTAGATTAATTAAACTTCTGAGACTCTAGTCTTCACAACTGCAATGAACAAAAGCACTATGATATTTTAGTTACAGTGATATGTAGAGTGCTGATCTTTGATAGCTCCATCATAGGCAGTAATTTTGAATTTACTGGCAAGTCTGCCTTGAATCATAGGAACAGCATGTTATTTTGCCGTGCCATTGTCAATTCAGATTTACTTGTAGCTCCAAATCAATTTTCCCTTGAAAAAAAAAAAAACACAACAAATACACATTTATTTAGCTTGGCTGCAATGCTGGAAAATACAGAGTCTGATGACCTTGCATCGTATTGTTAACAAGCCTCCCTTATTTAAAAGAGTGTAGAAGGCGAAAGAGGATGGGTGGGTGAGGAAAGTGGCTTAGTAGTAGTGAGCCTGAAATAAACACACAGATATGTTTGACAATCATGTTTTTGAGAAGAGAGAATATGATATAGAAGGCCAGTAAAATATATAAGAAGAAGAATATATTTTGTTTCTCTATTGTATTCCCTTACCAGCCATTATAACCTTACAGCTGTGTTGTTCAATTTTGCTGCTTCAAACATAGAACCTACTAAACTTCCTGGATGTTTTTTTAAATAGTGTGTTTTGGTGGGCTAAATACTCGAGGAGAGCTTTCAAAAAATCTGACTTTGGAACACTCTCCCAAGGGAGAGATGATCTGCTTTCTTCTGGGAACAAATCCGAAACTTTCTTTTTGACCTGGGCGCTTCACTTGTCCCAGCCACCTGGTTAAAAAACTTTTATGCCCTTTATTCTTTAACTTTCTTGCATTTAATCTGTTCTGGTGTTATGAACCAAGATCCTTTATGCAGGAAGGGAGGTGTATAGAATGTTAATAATAATATGGTTGTCTTCAGTTGAACAGCTCTTTATGTGTGTATGTACATCTAGGACCAGAGCACTCAACAACTCTAATGCAGGAAGGCGGTGTTTCTCTGCAATGTACTATATGATTTTCTGCTGTTGCTTGACTCTTAACTGAACAGGTTGTAAGCAGATTGCCATCTTTGGACCAATATCCCTCTCTACTTGTAACATGAAGGGAAGTGCACAGCTGTTCTGCTTCAGGGTTGTTTCCTGCTAAGCATGCCAAGCCATCACTGTTGCTTAATTGCAATGGAAAGAGATCTCCCCCCACCCCTCACAGGTGGAGAAGTTAATGAAGCGCAGCATGTGGACCTCAGGTTAAATCCCACCTGAGTTTGATTGGGGTGGCCTTGGGGTGCATTTTGTTCACTTAGCCTTTGTCCCCTTCTTTGCAAAATAGGTGTGATTCCTTGCTTCACTGGGACAATAAAGAAGGAAACATTATCTACCTTGAGCCTTGGGGATTAGAGTAGGAGGTATATCTAGATCCAGCCCATATTTGCCTTTGCTGTAGATAGATGCTGTCTGGGTCCCTCAAGAGAGAGGGTGGCTGTACCTTTCTTGCTGCTGTCCCCACCCCTGGGGTGATAGACTTCTGTGAAGAAAGTTTTTCAACCTAGTTCATTTGGTGAGGAGAGAGTGACTTTGTCAGTCCTCCCAGGCAGGCAGGCAAAGTGAAGGGGTGTTGGTTGCTTGCTGAAGTGCACACTTTTCATATTCTTCCATGATTCAGTTGCATAATTTGTTCTGTTTGTGGCAGATTTTTTTCTTCTCTATTCTCCCCTCCTCAACTCACTTATCGCAAGGAAGGGGAGCAGCCTTGTGGCAGGCAAGGAGCACTTAATCCATGCTTTCTTTATGCAAATACTGAAATCTGTGCAGAAAGCTGTTAAAACACACAACAATCACTGCCACAACTGTTTCCCATATCTCTTTATCCCGTTTTACTTGCCTTCCAGAGGTCAGAATGGTTCCTCGAAGGTCTCCTGTCCAGGAGCTGGCTGCCTTGTAATCCGTTTAGATTCCCAGGTGGAAGCTAAGCAGATCAGCACTTGGTGTTATAAACAACCGTAGAGCAGCCTTGGAGTTCTCTCTAAGTCCAGGCTGATACTTTTGCTCTCAGGCTGTGGTATTTATGGATGAAAGATGTGTCTGGTAAATCCTCAGTGTAGTTGTTTTTGTTTTGAACACTGTTGTGCCTGCTTGAGCAAAGAATGCTTATATGACAACATATATCATCACTGTTGTGGCAGTTTGTGTCTGGTTCCATCCTGTGGAATCCTAGCATCTGTGGTTTGGTGAGGTGCTTAGAATACTGTGCTACAGACTTCAGCGGAGTATACTGTGTTCCTCTCTAAACTACACATGTCAGGTATACGTAGAACAGAGTCTTGTGTAGTGTAATATGCTCATCGTCAAGGTTTCCTGTGCCGCTGCTTGTGGCAAACAGTTTGCCAAAATCTAAGAACTTTACTCTTTTTACCTTTTCCGTCTCGAACCAGTTTGATTATGATGTCTTATGTTATTGTTATATTTTAAATTGTTTATTTTAGCCTTTTCCATCTCGAACCAGTTTGATTGTGATGTCTTATGTTATTGTCATATTTTAAATTGTTTACGCTGCCCAGAGTAGTCTATTGACTAGGTGGGCGGGATATAAATTCAATAAATAAATAAACTAATAAATAAATAGTTGCTTTTAGAGGTGATGGACTAAGGGAGCCGTAATGTGTGTGGATGAAATGCAGTGTTGTACCTTTGCACTTCTAGGTTTAGCCATGCTGAAAGGACACTTCATGTTTTTCCCCCGTGTTAAGAGCAGCTTGAAAGTGTCCCAGAAGGTCAGTTTTAAGGCAATTTCAATTTTTGGACAAGTAAACCTCTAGGTGAAGCAGAGATTTAAGTGGGATCATTGTTATACAGAAAGTATATATCCACTCTGCTTTGTAATATGCCAGGTTGCTGAATTGATTCCAAGCTATGCAGAAAACAGGATACAAATCTTCACTAATGTGCTTTGGCAGGCAGCTACCAATCTAGCATCTACTTGACTGCTTTCTCCTAATAGCCTGCTTCAAGCACCAATAGTAGTACAAAGGTTTGCCCCCCCCCCTTAAAAGCCACCTGGAAAAGAGATATGGTTGACAGGTTTTAAGAGAATGTTTGCATGAGTGGGAATCAAACAGTAATAAAGCACTAATGTTGTTGACTGTCTTTTCCTCAGCTGAAGTTGAAAGATGCTCGGCTTTAAAGGCCAAGCCCCTTCGCTAACACCCTTCTGCAAAGATCATCTACAGCACCTTGTGTTGTGTTGGTCCAGAAGAGAAAGCAAGATGTCCCATTAAACATGTGCAGAACTTTATTCTCTTCTGAAGGAGTTATTTGAATTCTTGCAAGTTTATTCACACACATTTCTGTACTTAGATTTCCTGAGTCACCTTAATCTCACAGATCTAAAGTAGGCTCAGGTGTAGACTTCATCTCTTAGGACAGCATGTTACAGCATAGGGATGGGTTGCTGTTGCCTTCCAGATGTATTTCTACCTACAGCTACTATCAGCCATAGCCACCCTAGCTGACGGACGGCAAAGGATTGTTGGGATTGCACTCCGAAATCTCTGGAAGGCCACCT